TTATTGCAGGCAAATTTGTCTTCGCTTCAAATCTTCATGGTTTGCATTTTAGTTGACTTTTTTGTGAAGTAAATGCAGCTCGACTCTGGCAGTTTATCGCCGTGTACTTATATCTGCCATTGAGGCACGCGTGCCGCACTTTAAAGTTTTCAACTGACCAAAACAATTTAAATCAAACAATGTTACGGCTGCCGTCATGGCATTGGGCAGCAAGTTCAATATATGGCAGTTGGCGTTGACTTTTGATCGCTTTCCCCATACACACACACGCACACACACACACACACATGCAGACAAACACACAAATGCATATAAACAGAGCGCAACATGGCATTCAGAGTGAGGCCCGGCTCCGGCTTTTGCTTTTGCTTTGGCTACGGCTTCGGCTTCGGCTACTGCTACTGCTCCGACCCCAGTCCCGGTTACTTTGTTGCCGTTGGGCTAACGTGGCGTATGCGCAATATTTGTATTACAGTTTCATATGCGACCAACGACCAGCGCCCACGTCCTAGTTGCGTTTCCTCCCCCCTTGTTTCCAATGAGTCGCAAGTGTGAGAGTTTGTGTGGCATGAAGAAAAACGGCATCAGTTATGGCAAACGAATGTGCGACGTGTGGCGTGTTGCCGATGCTGATGCTGTGCTGTTGCTGTTTTTCTCGTTGTTGTTGTTGTTGTTGTTGTTGTTTCTGTTGCTGTGGAAGATGTAGTGGCTTCGGTGGCTTCATTGGCGACGCCCGTTCTTAACTCAAATGTACAACATCAATAAATAAAAAAGCAAAAGGATATAAAAAAGGATAATAAACATGGTCCCCTAAGAAATCTATAACTGAGTGCGCTGCAACAACACACACACACACACACACACCCACACAAGCACACACATGCATACTATGTACAAGTATATAAGGAAATTGCCAGCGCCAACAGCAACAACAAGTACAAGAACAAATAGCAACAGCAACACATCGATAACAACATGTGGCCGTCGAGTGTTGAAACACACGTTCAAATTTAATCGCTGTCTATGTCGTTCATCGACAGACGCACACAAACACACGCACACAGACACACATGTATACATTTCCATAAGGCAAGTCATGCAATATGCAAGATAGCGCCGATGAAAAGGCGATAAAAGATGACTCGTAATGCAAACGTGCGACGGCCAAACGTTTCGATGCCGTACGTTGAGATCCGATTCGTTTGCCTTTCCTTTTCTTGCCTTCCCATTCAAATGGATGGCGCAAAAGAGGCTGCCGACGCCGACGCCATCGTCGACGCCGTCGCAGCAACACATCTACACGCCCCCACCTCCCACCGCCCACTCTACTTCACAGACCATCGCTCCTTCTGCTTCCTCTTTCGAAATTGCGCGTACCGCTAATGTATCTCTTGTTGTTGCTGCGTTATGACAGTCGCAGAGCGGCGTCGTAAAAGCGACCGACCGATATATGTACATACAAGTACAAGTATGTACGTACTACGTACATATATATAGTATGTGGATGTTGATAAAAAGTGTTGCATACTTTTCTGCGCGCATAGCTCAACTTTGGCAGCTGTGTGCAAATTGTTGCAACTGGGACTGCTGCTGCAACATGCAGTTGCACTCGTTTATTCCAGACAGCTTACTCCTCTTTCGCATCTTCAGTGTGCAACTTAGACTTATCCTCAACTCTACCGCATTGAACGCAGTTGCTCCAATAATACAAACTCCACAAGCTAAAGCATAAGCTAAAGAATATTATTTAATAAAGATAACAGCAGAGGCTACTGTTTAGCCACTCTTCGAGTAACTGTTGTATCAACTAAGCACTTAATACTTCCTTCCATTAGTATCAGAATCAGAATAGTCTGTCTTCAATTTCGAAAAAAAATACGCCCTTTCATTTAGTTCTGGCATTGTCTTATTTGAAATGACATTAGACTAAACTAAACTAAACTAAACTAAACTAAACTAAACTAAACTAAACTAAACTAAACTAAACTAAACTAAACTAAACTAAACTAAACTAAACTAAACTAAACCTCTAATCTAGATCAGTCCACTAATAGAGAAGAGCTAGAGCGGCTGCCCACTCTAACAAGACTTGATACCTGCTGATTAATGTTTGATAGCTTGACAAGGACATGTTTTATATTGAAATACTCAACCCAAACAGAACTCTGCACTTGACAATGAGTTCGAAAATAGATCACTAATCCACACACAATTCCTTTCCGATTTCTAATATGTATTAATGTCTTGTTTTCTTTTCGCTTTATATTCATGACTTGCTCAAAAACCCACCAGCAGCCAGCTTGATCGATGCAATATCTTTCAATTTATTTCCCATATTTTTATATTCAGTTTTGCAATAAAAAGAGAGTTCTGTTCCTTCAATTTAACATCAATTCACACGTATGTTAATGGAGTCCAACAAGTAAGTACCCCCAATTCTCTTTTTTCCTGCCAGCCATTCATTAATTAGCCTTATCTTTTTACTGTTTCTTCTGTCTACATCAGGCCAAAAATATTGCTATCCCACAACATGTGTGCTAGGTCCACTTGAACAGCTGTATACAAGTTCATTAAAATGTTAATTAGATGTGCTCGACCGCTATTAATAGTTCCGATTTGTGCGCCTCAAATGCAATAGCTGGTGAATGGCAATGATATGGCACATGGGAACATGGGCTTTATATTTAGTCTATGGTCTATTTTCGCCCTGACGAAGGTCGACAGATGACAAACGAAGGACGAAGGACGAAAGACGGCAGGCGGCGACGATATTGACATTTCTGATCCACTTTAAAAAGTTGCCGTTGCAAGGCCAGACTAATAATTGATTCAATTTTAATTGGTGGACAAACAGAGAAAGAGAGATACTCGTAGTACTCGTACAGCAAGCCTTCACAAATGTACTTACATAGAGGGCGATGGAAGAGGAGCAAATGAAGCCAACAGCAGCGATCGATTTCATGGCTCTGTCTGTCTGTCTGTCTGTCTGTCTGTCTGCCTTTCTGGCGGTCTCTCGGAATTCCTGGTGGCGCACAGTTGAATCAAATTTAATATTGGCATGTCACGTGAACTTAACTATGCCACACGCTTCCTTATACTCGTATGTCTGCATGCATATCTGTGTGTTTGTTTGCGTATGTATGTATGTATGTATGTATGTATGTGTTGGTGTGTCTATGTCTGTGTATGCGTTCCATTTCATTTGGCAAATGCGAAAGCGAAAAGTAAAAAGGCGAAGGAGAAAACAGTGAAAATCGCAATTTGAACACATCGAACAAATTCGCTGAGAATGGCAACGTTTTGTGCATTGCCAGCGGCCATTAGTCGTAGTCGTTACCCTCCCCTCTGCCCATCCCACCCCACCCCACCCCATCACTCAGCCACAAAGAACACGACCCTGCCAAGCACCAAAAATTGCCGGCCAGCAAGTCAATAAAGTGCCAGCTGACTGCCTGCCTTCTTGACTCCCAGCCTTCCAAAGCGGCTCCTGAAAAACGCTGACTAATTCATGAAAATAATTTTTCATTTGTCACCTTTTTCCTTCTGTTTGGCACAACTTTTCACTTTTCCCCATTTTTTCAATAAGCGTCGTCGCATCAAAGTCAAATGGGTTTGGGACGGGCGACTACGCATTGGAACATTTCATAACTACTATGACGAGCATTCCCAGCATTGGGACGACATGCAAAATTAAATAATCACTTACGATATGCTCAAAGGACATGGAGAGGTACACTGTTTGCAAAGTTTGTCTTTAATCCACAACATTTCATATTAACAGGATACCTTTAGGGACTGTCTTTATTATGTATTTCTCAAAATGTATGAAACAAATCGAGTTCCGGGAGGCCATTCAATGGCCATTTAAATAGATTTGAAAAAAAAAATCAAAAATTGGGATACATTGGTTTTCAAGAACTGTGAAGACAAAAATAGTCCCCTTTTGGGACTATCATAAAAATCATTCATTCCTTTAAACTATTTTTTCAGCAACTAAGTATAATGAAATTGAAATGCAAGTCATTGAAAAAGAATTCTTTAATTGATTTATGAAGAAATATTGTTTATAGTCGAAGAACTGCATCAGATATTTGAAGTAATGACTAATGTCTCCTGTAATTTGAAACAATATCGTGCTCATTCGAAATATGTTATTGTGCCATTATGGAAATATTCCCCTTGCGGGCGCAATAAAATTACAATAACGACGTGTTAACGATTTGCCTTCGTCTGCAAGGAAGCCAAATACTCTTTCATAAAACTCTATTCCTCCCTTCTGTGTCCGTACTATCCCATGAGTGCTGAATTCCATAACTACCTTCCAAAATTTGCTTCAATTAGAGAAATAAACAACAGCTTGCTACAATGAATAATCGTGTATACATATTTATATTAGGTCTGCAAACATTATTCTGGGACGTGGGAAAATATATGTTACGGATATGTAAAGGAAAAGTAGTGTTATTTTTTTGATTTCAGGAAATCTTTCCCAACAATAAATATTAATATATTCAAAGATCTAGAAAAGTCTCACCTGCAAAACGTATTTCTGATTTCTTGAAATTGTTATCATTTTTGATATCGAATGACCTGCTAGATCCAAATACAAATCAATCAATAACTCTCAAAATCGTTGGTTTTCTTCTTCTTTTTTTTTGTTCCATTCAAAAGCTTGATGGTATGAGTTCGTAGCAGAACACATGGATGCATTTGGAAGTGCCTGTGAACGAGTGGTTAGCTCTGTTTCTTATTTAATAGCCCTGGGATTGGCGCACGATTTGCTCATTTCAACTGATATTTTAAGTTTAATTTAAGTTTGGCTGAGTGGGGTAGTGTTGGCGGTAAGTCTATTTTCAATCCTCAGTCCATATTCGTGTGCATCGAGTAGGCCTTGATATGGGTACAAGTAGGCTTTGAAATTAGCTTCGTTTCTTCTAACTACATCTGGTTTGTAAAATATTGGAACTTTCAGTTTGCTTTCAGCAATCGGCTGAAGCAGACAACTCGGCTCGAAAAATTCTAAAAATATTTTAAATATGTATCATCGGACTGTTTTTTCGGCATAAAATTTGTTGAAGTTATCCTTCAGGTTACGACTGGTGTATGCGTTATGCAAAGTTATTCTGAACTCTAATAAAATTTCCCCCTTTTCAGAGAAGTTGTAGCGTGGAGGAATTAAGCTTCATCTCTTAATTAATCCATTCCCCCATTCGGCACGCATGTTGGTATGGAAACTACTCTTTCGAAAAAGCACACTTGGAACATTGGTAAGTCAGCCACGTGGAAGACATAGAGGAAGGCCAGACGATCCTTCATATCTGACATTTGAATATTTCGCTTACAGGACGCCACTCACGACACTATTGTTTTCGCCTATTAAGCTAACACTTGGACTAATTTTGCTCAGTATGTCCATATACTAACGACGACATGGATATTGTTGATTACGACGCAGTTCGAGGTGGTACCGGAAATTCCCTTTTGGCGTTATCCTGCGGATCGCGCCTCCACTTACCTTTAGTAGATTATTGAATACATTTCGGGAATGCGGCCGAAAACGGCTCCAAATTCGCAATACGAAGATATTCAAGGTGGTACCGACGCCCACTACTCCTACTCCGTTTTGTTGGTGTCCGACGGCTCGCACCTGTACACGGTAGTTGCTGAATCAAAAGGAGTTTACATTTTGTATTGCATGAATAAAAACCAAAACGTTCGCCCTAAAACTTAGTTCTTTCAAGTGGTACTAATACTGAAATGTTTCGCTAATCATGGACAGTTATCTCTGTTCTCGAATCGTCTGATTTCTCCTATAACGGATGCGTGTAGGAGTTATAAGATAATATTATACGTTTTTTAGTTTCTTTTTTTGTTGACTTATTCAACTAAATTATGTATTCTGGCTTGCAGATATAAGAAACTCATGATCTTTTCTGGAAAGCAAAAAAAGAAAAACAAAGAACTGCCTAAAGATCGCTCTGCACTATCCATGATGTGTTCGTCAGCCACAAAGCCTACACTGATATAAATTAAATACAAAATTTGCCGGCAGTCTACTTCTGAATATTACGAAAACAACCATTCAAGCACAAGTTTTTCGCTGCAGTTTTTGAAAAGTTTCTGCCTTTTTAGATTGAAAAACTTCGATTTCAAGGTGAAACAATGGTCGTATGTGTGACTGTGAATGCAATGGCAGGAGCTTAAATGGAAGCGTATACACAATATAAACGGACATATATATGTATGTACTTGTATATATTGCAGATTAACAGACGATATCGAGAACCAGTCAGACGTGTAGAAATACCAGGGGAAGGGGACCAGCAGTTGGTTCTCTGAGTGACAGGGGCTATCAGGACGCTCGATCATGGGACATGGGCACACGGCCAATGGCGACCCATGTCATGGGAACTGACTGCACGACACAAGCATCACAACAGAGAAAACAACAAGAACAACAACAACAATAGAGGTAACCAAAATAAATAAACACATTAAATTGTTGAAAATAAAATCACATTTGAAAAAGTACTGCATGTTGCAAAATGGCGAAACGCGCAACTTTTTGCCACTATTGGAATTCCAATTGTATTCGCGTTTGTTTTTCTAACTCTGTTGTGCTCTGCACGTGTCCATTGTTGTTGTTGTTGTTATTCCTGCTGCTGCTGCTGCTGTTGCTGCCACGTCTGCTGATGGCACACACCCACATGCACTCATTAGTAATATTGATTTCATTAAATCCATCAGAGGCCGCCAATGCCAGCAGGGAGAGCAGTCAGAGCAGGCCGGAGTGGAGGGATGTTGAAATTTAAGCAATTATGCAGACACTGCACAGTGGCTCCGACCAGATTCTCAAACCAGGTGGCGAAAAGTTACTTCTTCAGTACCATGCATTTTTTATACAAAACTTGTTGTTCAAACTCTGGAGCGGAGACAGCCGTTTATTTCAGCAAGAAAACTTTTTCTCACCGGAAACTAAATAGCGAATACTTTAATCCTTTCAACCGTAGTGCTGGAAGGGAGCAGCTTGGCAGATAAACTTAGACTAAAAAGCAAAATACTTCATTAATTAGGCTTAACATTTGATAAAGTATCTGAAAACGGTAAACAACCTCACCTCGTTCTAGAAAACTAGTTTGGAAAAGTTTTTTTTTTTTTAAATGAAAATCAAAAGAAGCAATAAAAGAAATAATATTCAATACCTGGGTACATACAAACCAATAATATTTATAAAAACATTGGTTGTCTGGAGGATATAAGTAAAGCATAATACTTGTTCCTATACATTCTTATTCATTCACTATTTAGGCACAATCATCCAATTTCTGAAGGTTACGCATAAAATACTTGCAGTCATAAATTCTGTATAAAAAGCTGCAGACTATGGTGAAAAGAGATTTTATACAAGCTATATAAAAATATTCCTCTAACCTTGCCTTTACTCGACTACTATACTTGAGCCAAGTGGGATGTTAGGGGCTTTAGCATAATAATATTAATATATTCTAATATATCGACCACTGTGCATCGTTAAGGCTTCTTAGTCGGCGCGCAGACACACACAGAGACACGTACGCCTGTGTATAAACCCGTCTACAACAGCTCATAATTATATTAGCTTCTTGTCACGTCAGTAATTAACTCAATTTATCATTAACCTGAACGCCCTGAGTTGCACTGCTGAAGCTGCCAACTCCACCCCCACCCCCACCTCCATCTGCCCCTCCAACTGGCGCTCGCACACACGCATATATCCTCTCTATTTTTCTTATGAAGCATCTTTAATGGCAGCTCGTTAAATTTATTGCGCATACGCCCCGTGTACCTGGAAATCGGCCGATTACTGGACGCGTGCGTAATTCGCGACTGAGGCATCGGGGCAGCCAAGCGTACTATTTCTTTGAATGTTTGAACGTGCTGCTGCCCATGCACAGCTGTGGAGATGGGGCTGGGGCTGGGGATGGGGCTGGAGATGTGGTTGACAGCCCTCCCCCTGCCATTCTATTCGTGCCGCACTTACTGCAATAGGCGTGTCAGTCAGTCGGTCAGTCCGTCAGTGAGTCAGCCAGCTAGTCAGGCAGTCAGTGCAGGCGGCAGAAGTTCGTTTGCTTTTGACGGCAAACAAATGCTTTGATATTTATTGCTAGGTGCTGGCACCCTTAAGTGCCCAAAAGCTGATGTTTTTGTTGCTGTTATTGTTGTTGTTGTTGTTGTTGCTGCTGCTGCTGCTGCCACTTCCTCTGCTGTTATTGTTATTGGAGGGCGAGCGTTGAGTGTTCACGTAGGTGGGTCAACGGGCCTGTCATGCACTTAGCAGCGCAGTCAGTCATTCAGCGACTCGGCTAAGGTCGTGCAGTGAAGTGAGCAGTGAATTACAGGCAGTGGGCGTGGCACGTTTACCACAGACTTAAACACAGTCTCAGGCCGTGGACTAAACAAACCTTTTAAAGATAACCACGAATTACATTGCAGATACAGCACTACTAAAGCAGGTGAGGATTGTTAACTTAGCACCTAATAAAAGCTTGACTAAGTCATTGAAATGGTGTCTCATGCTACCCTTTGTAGTATACACTATGTATGCGATTTCACGGGACTTAGAAGCTATAGAGCACAAATCTAGTCCTCAGTAGGAGGGACGGTTATTAGTGACTGCATTGACTTGCTGTCATAAGCCGAATTGCCAGTGCTTTGATCCCTCATTCCAACTTTTTGTTCGATAACAGAGCTGTGGTTGATAATCAACCATTATATGTACTTGTAGACTAATCCCTAACGTTGAAGAAACATATACGATTACATGCCTCCAATTTCTTGTCACTTTCTCAAATCAAGTGGATGTAATACATAAATCTATTAAATTCCAAGAAAATTCCAGAAAGCAACAAGTTACATTGCACTGCGCTCTTAGATATCTATTTACAATTTTGATGGGTCTTTTTGGGAGGAGGAAGGGACCAATTATTGCATCTATGTGGGCCTACAATGTCTGCTGCACTCTGTGTCTAAAATATGAATGTGTAATAAAGAAAAGGGCAAGAAATTGAAGAAACTTTAAAGTGATAGTGATGGCTTGTTCCACAGTTGAAAACAACAATTAAATGTTTCCATCAGCAGCGAAAAGAGACTTACAACTGATATTTGTTTGCATATCTACTTTTACGAGTGCATTAACATTTGCTTGATTTTGTGGGCTTTTTAGTTTAGCTGCTGCTAACAATATACTATATTTTAATAAAGACAATGATTATGAAGCTAATAAGAGAGTAAAAGTAAATGGATGGGTGTTTCTATCAAAGCCATGTAGTGTGTGCAATACACATTTATTGAATAAATTACTTTTTATCCTTTTTAAAATCAATTAGGAACTTTAAACATATTTTTTAGTATTTGGTCGTGCACTTTTCAGCTCCTGGCAGAGCCCTGTGCAAGTATTTAAAATGAAGGAAATGTTAACAATTAAACGCATTTTCCTTTCTTTAGTTTATTAAATAACGATTTAAGTCGACTTTAAGTCTAACTAGAATTTCGAAGTGAACCTTCAGCAGTTCTGTGATATAAAAAGATAATGGATGGGGTTAGATGTGTGAATTAATGAATATCATTACAATTATTAAAGCAATAGTAATTGGAAAAAAGTATAGAAAACCGATTCCCAAATACTAGGAAAAACTGTTGATTCATTGGAGAAAGAGGCATCAATATTTGTTGGCAAAAAACGATTAAAATTTTCAAAATACATAGCACGGAATTACTTCAATTAAGCATATTCCAACTATTGGTATCAGGCGGACATAATTTCAGAACAAAACATCCGATTCGTTTTAGTAAATACTTTCAAGGCAGTTAGTAATTAAGAGCATTTAATGCTCGGAATGATATCTATTTAAAAGGTTCATAATTGATTTCCCAGGGAAACTAATAAAATGCAAAACTGCTGGCTACGCGGTTGCAAATGGAATCGAAAACCTGGTTGTTGTCGTTCAAATAAACAAAATTCTGCAGTTCTATTTCAGTTCAGTGGGGCTGAATATTGCTGTAGCCATAGAATATATCATTTGGAATTTAAATAGGCTTCAAAATAGCCTTGAAGCCGTCGTCAGGACTCTTTTAACCCTTGCAAACGTGCGAGGCATAAATCGAAAGCTCGCAGTCTCTTATCGTACATAATGAGCCATGCTTGACTTGGCCTCGGTAGCAGCTTGGCTTTGGCCATTTTTGATTTTATTATTATGCTTTTTGCAGGCATCGCGTATATATATATATATATATGTGTGTGTGTGTGTATGTATCTTTGTGTATGTGTGTGTCCGGTGTCCGTAGGGTTGGTCAAGTAATTTATTTATTGCCACATAATAAATCTGGCCATAAGATATTTCACGTGCTGGTGTGTTGTGTTTGTGCTTGGGAATGTGCTTGGATTCCTTGCCAAGGGTCATACATACATGACAACAAAAACACGCGTCCTCCATGCACATGCTCGCTGGCCTTCTCGCCTCGCACTGTTTGTGTCACCCCCTCTTCCCCCTTTTCAGTGACCCTTAGCCATTGCTGCGGTATGTCTGCATGTGTGTGTGTGTGTGTGTGTGTGTGTGGTTATGTGTATTTTAACATTTTGCTCCCTCCTCTTTAGTGCATTGTCATTTAGCCAAACTGTTGTTAATAGCCATGCGGTGGCACTACAAAGCACCCGGTCTCTGGATCCCCACATACATATGCTGCTCAA